GCCAAAGCCGAAACTAGTGGAAAATGTTTTCTTTTCGCCACTATAGTTTTGTTGTTGTTAAGTGGTATTGATGATGTTTGAGCAGAAATTGGCACAGCATCTCTGTCGATTCCCAAGCGTTCAATGTCATTTCTTGCCTTAGTTTTGCGCTTTTGACCAGCAGATTTTGGAAACTTTAACCAAATTCTTGTAATTTCATCATTTTCATTTAATTCAATATGAATTAATGTACCTACAGTGCCATTAGATAAACCATCAGCTACATCAATATTTGTAGTTATCATATAAGGCCGGTTGGGAACTAGAATTAATTCGTATGGTAAGCTGCCGGTCTCGTCCGGTTTCATTTTGTGTAACTTTTGTCTAACATAAGCTTCTTGGTCGGCATTATGACAGCCAACGAAAACATCCGATGCCAATGAAATAATTTTATTTTGATAACTATTCAAAATTGTATTGTTGTATTCGTTGACAGCAATATTTGTAAACATAAGTCTTGTTCCTTCCGGACATACAGATTGCGCATATTCTTTAGTAACAAATCTAGATTCAATCACGTTCAATTCTTCTTCAGTTAAAATAGTTCCATCTCCTATTTTCGTTAAAATCGAAGAAAATAGTCTATTTTCTTGTCGCATTACTTTCTTGAGTTCAAATTGTTTGAATTTTCGCCAAGGTGTTTCGGCTGAAATTCTGTTTTTAGTTTGCTTGAAGATTGGCGTAGCTTTTACAGGGGGCAATTGACGCAAATCTCCGATAAGGATTACATCCAATCCACCAAAATCTTTTTGAAGCAAGCCAGTTATTTGCCTCAGACGTGCGTCAATTTGCTGTAATAATTCTGCAGAAACCATGCTTACTTCGTCAATGATAACAATATTAACATACTGAAATAGAGCTCTGTATTGTTGAGCTTTTTCAACGTTGAGGGGCACTAACCTTGACAGTGTTATACTTAAAGCATTATGCACCGTTGTGCCACCTATGGCTGTAGCAGCTTTTCCGGTTGAAGCACAAGCAATATATGCATTAAAAATTCCATCAGTATCCGAAAATCTATTGTAAATTTCCATAAGCGCTTTTATTACGAATGTTTTACCACTTCCAGCCGGTCCAGTCAAATACACGAGCAATGGATCTTTCATGTCTCCGGTTTTCGATATCAAGTGATGCATAGTGTGAAACAAAATTTCTCGCTGTTCTTCGTTAGCCTTGCGTATAAGTTCATAAAATTCTTCATATGGTAAAATGTTTTCTTTTTTTTTAGCGATGGCCCCAAGCTTATCAAATAGCGCAAGTCGTAGATCATCATTTAAATCGGCATTTGGATTATCATACAATTCGGCAAATGGATTTTCATCAGGTATTCTACCAACAACCTCATTTATTTCCTCTCCGTCAATGTTAATATCTTCGCGACATAACTCTCTGCAGATCTCCAGCGTCTTTCGGATATCCAGATTTGATTCGAACTCTTTTCTTCTCTCAAGTATAAGTGCTTCATTTTCATCATATAGCTGAATATACCGCATTTCCGCAATAATTTCAGCTTCTTCGTGTCGGAACGGCATGTGCAAAGTAACCATTTCTCTCCTGTATTCATTGTAGTCTGTAGCCATGTCATAATTACGATATCGTATGACTTTTGGTTCTTCTCGTTCTACATTTTCACCTTTGTTATTTTTGTAATATTTAGAAACAAACTGAGCAAGAGAAACATTTTGTATAGCATCGGGTCTTTTCTCATATTTGTCGAACCAATTTTCTTTCCATATATCTATCGAATCGTCTTCAAGTTCACTCAATTGCTTCATTGTCTTCTTTACTCTGTGTCTTTCGATTGGCCATATAGTCGGTATAAATTCGATCGCAGTTGAACTTTTTGACATCGGCTCCCTCAATAGATACCATGCAGCTTCTTGACTGGTCATCTCAGTCTGGTTCAAAAGATGGATACTAAGATGTTTAGTAATTTCAAAAATATTGAATTCAGGATGTTCATCCATAACCTCGATGATTTTTCTTTGCAAATTGCTAACGCCCCTATTAGTCTTATTTACGTATTCTACTACGTAAGCTGCACAAGAGTATTCTTCAGTAATAAATTGAAAATCAGTATTAGCTTTTACAACATCGAAAATGAATGGATTGAAAGGATTATGCCATTTTTCCGAAGGTTCTCTTTTTATAAAAACTCGTGGTCTATTAATTCCCGCTCGAATTATCCTTACGTATTCCTCATCTGAATCAATATCATTTTCACTGTAAAATGATGCAAAATCATCGTAGTCATAGATTTCGAAATTTTTACGGACTGAATTGTATTTCGCCTTGTAGTGTTGGAAACAATCTTCTGTATGTTTCATAGGTGTTAAAATCATTGTTTCCTTAACAGGCAAAAATGGAGCATCAAATCTACATTTTTGTTGTCTTCGCGATGCTATTCCTTTATAGCAGGTAAAAGAATGCCTATGAGTTTGTAATTTAATATTACCAGAAGCTTCGGTGGCTGATACTGATATCAAAAAATTTATGAGATCGATGGCTTTATTGTAATCCTTGTCAAGAGCATCTTCAGGAGCATTATCTAACCACGCTAAAATATGTGCATGTGGACTACCTCTATGTTGAAATTCAATTCTTTTGAAGTAATGCAAAACTCTGTATTGTTTAAAAGGACTAAACCTTTTAGATTGTAATATTTTCATAATAACATTGACTAGCTTGTTAAAATAAATAGCGCAAGTTACCGCGTCTTCATTAATGAGAGTACTTTTTTCAATGTAATGCAATTCAGCAGCTTGTTCTGCAGATATTTCCGAATTGTTTTTCAAATTATGCAACAATTGCAATAACTTTGGCCATCTGATTTCATTGGCGCTTATAGTAAAGAAAACAGTAGGCTTACCATATTGTCGAATCATTGCAAAAAGATCTCTTTTTCTTTCTGCCCAATAATATGCTGAATTCGGAATTGAGCGAAGAAATGCCAAATTGGTCTCAATGCAGCCATGCATATAATCGTCTGACTGTATTTGCTCTTTAGTGATTGCAATACCTTGGCCAACATGTCTGAATGCTATAGAAAGAGACTGTTTGATTCGAAACCTCATGATTTTCATCGCCATGTATAGCAAGTGTTGAGGGGTTACACCTCGTCTATCAGATCTCCTAAGTTCACTGGTTGCCATCATGAAAGCTGTGGCAACCACACCATCACGGAATTGCCTAAATTGTCCCAAATATATTTGTGGAAAAGATAATTCTTCAGCGTGCTCATCGAATAGCAGACTGATTGGAACGTTTCCTGAAAAAATACATATGTTTATTTTGCAAATTTAACAAATTAAATAAGAAAAGAACAAAAATAAAATAGAGTACCTTCTCCAGGAGCAATGCTCAAGTACATATTTTCGTCCCACATCAATGTTTGTTGCTGAGCTATTAAACTTTCGCCAATTGGTATCTGTTCTAAAATGTCATTGTCGCCATCTTCATCAAAGACAATATCATCTGCAACTTCGCATTCATTGTTGTCATTCAAAAAACGATCATCAAGTGCAACATCGTAGGAAGTGTAAAGAGGAGTGTCTTTCAAATATCGTAACCAAACTTTTATGCTTCTTTTCCTTACTATACCATAGACGTAACTAGATTTGTGAATTTTTTTCCGTTTAATATGAACAGTGATGGCATAATCATCATCTACTTGCCTTGGCAACACATTAACCATTGTATTCACTTCAATTGGAACATTAATGACCTGTCCATAAATTCCATATTGACCATGTACATGTCGCAGTCTACGAATTTGCATGAACGGAATTCTTGGAGATATTAACCTTTCGGTTACCAAGTCTAAAGGAAAGTCTTTCAGAGATGCAGGAACAGGTGGATATTTGAATCCATTGTAAACAGACATCGGTGGAATACGTTGCTTTTTAATTGCTGCGTTGCAAGTTGAACATAATTTAATTTCCGGTAAAGCAGTGTTTGAAAGCAATGATCTTATAAAATCAATATTTTTAGTCGTATCTATATTTTGTAAGTAACTCAAATCCTTTTTGAACCACAGTCTGTCGCAAACATCACAAGCAAAGCCGAATTCATTTGCAACGAAATCTTTCTGAAATTCTCGATGCGCAGAGAAATTTCGTTGAAAAGCAGAGTATGTTTGAACCTGCACATTAGGTAAGGAAGCATTTACAATCTGAGAGGGAGGTTGACTTGGAACTATTATATCCCCGACATTGTGAATAGGAGTATTGTCGTCAGAATGGCTTGGTGGACCTGTAATTTGATCGTTGTGTATGATTTCTGAATGTATATCATCTGTGGTAAATGGACCAGACGAATATATTGCTGTCCGAGGTACATAAGGCACATCTCTGGTAGATGTACCAGCGATTTGAGGAGGTACACTTTGTTGTACAAGAGTTTGGTCAGTTGATAATAAATTTAACGTTCTTCGTTTATCTCTGTATCGTTTACAATAATCTTTGTTCGCTTGTTTCGCCAAGTCTGACTTATGTGGGTGTTTCTCTCTGTATCGATTATCATATTCTTTCCTTTTTTGTTTTCTTTTTTCTACTTCATCCTCATAAGTGGAGTCATCTATCGAGTTTTTTCTTTTTCGAGCATTATTTGAATCATCCGCATCCATTTTCAAGACAAATCTATAGATCTATAATCTATATTATCTATTTTTAGATAATTTTATTTAATAACGTGTTGCATTTGTTTATGTACGTATCATGTACGTAACAAAAAAAAAAATAAACAAATAAAATAATAATTTACTTACGTGATGACGAGCAGCAGTTGTAATAATGTATACAAAATATAACACTATAGTATACAAAAGCACTACAACAATGTTTTTATTAATTCTATTAACACTTTAGATTTGTTTTTTTTTGTTTTTTTAACACAATACCATAGCAGCAACACAAGTCAAATGAAATATTTAAATCAGGGTTTGAAAAATGATGATCTGTCAGATCGGCTGAAAATGCTCACCCAAAAAGTGCCTAACGCGCCATAAGAAGTTTTCACTTCAAAAAATGAGTTCTAAAAAAAAATGAAAAAAATGATTAGAAAAGTTGAAACCTGAATTTAATAATAGTTTTATTTAGCTGCATTATTATTTAAGCAATCTTTCTTTTTGATAAACAAAGAACTTTACACACAAGATACACACAAGATTGAACATGCGTCCGAACTATCAAACGAAACACAACACGGCAAAATCGCAGCGGCTATACGGCAAAATCATAAGCACAGGGGCCTTTGGGCCTTGATTTGCTACAATACTTGGTGTGTAACTAGTGTAGGAACCTTGCTGTTTTTTTTTGGGTATATATTCCTCTACTGTTTTGTGTCTCTCTGACACGTTTATTGTATTGTCTCTTAACGCTGGATTTTTTCCTGGATTTATGTGAATTGCTAACGAAAAAAAAATTTCAAAAAAACGCCCTATTATCTTGCCTTGAGGAATTTCCCTAAATTCCTTCTTTATTTTAGTATATAAGCTGTTAGAATCAGCTCTTCGGGTTTAATGGCGTTCTTGTGAACAGTCTTAATAATTTTGATTTGTATATTAATTTTTTGTTCGCATTGAACTTTTTATTTTTAGTTAAGTGTCTTACATCGATCACTTTAACTAATATTTTTGTTCTTAATGAATAGTTTTACTTTTAGACGTTGTAAGGCTCTAACAAAGTCAAGTGTCTTACCACTGGTGAGGGATCACTATGATTTTTATATATATTTCAAGAATTTTTAAAAAAATTTACCTTAGCCAATTTCCTAAATAATTGAAAAGAATTGAAAGAAGCATTTAGCATAAGTATTCAATCGATCCTAATCTTATTTAAAAAATTATTCCCTATTTATACAAAAATTATCTCAAAACTAACTTAATTAACTGTATTATTTTAGTTACATTTTACATTGTTTCGCTGCTATTGGTCTAACAGATAACCTCAAGTCCCTGCTCGGGCGCCAGTTATTTTATTTTATTTTAAATATTTATTTGTTAATCGTTATTTATTATTTTATTTAATTATTTAAAACGTTGTTTATGACCTACGTGGTTTTATTATATCCAAGTAATAAAAATTATAACAAGTTAATAGTGTGGTGTCCATGACCTACATCATTGTTTAATATGACAAGTCATTGCATAAAGTAACAAAACAATTGTGACATAATTTATTGAATGCACATTTGTCGCTTTGTCGTTTTGACTTTGATCATATTAAACAATGATGTAGGTCATGGGCACCACACTATTTCTGATAATTTCTGATTTATTAATTTCGGGATTCCAATAGTCCGTCAATTGCAGGTTATTTAATAGTTTTCGATTTAATAATTTCGAGATTCCAATGGTCCGTCAATTGCAGGTTATTTAATAGTTTTCGATTTAATAATTTCGAGATTCCAATGGTCCGTCAATTGCAGGATCGCCATGTAAAGATGTGTAGCTTCAGGATTGCCATGCAAGGTTCTTCATCCAATACATTAATATGTATTAACTTGACAGGATTGCTAAGGGATTGTAATTAAGAACCCCAGAAGAAAGGTTTCGACCTAGCAAGGATTAGTATTAATCTGAGCTCTTCAGCCGCCTTTAAGTATTTTCTAAGCTCTTCAGCCGCCTTAATGGTATTACCAGCAGATATGCCGCATATAACCAGAGATTCAAAATACAGTTTATTCTTGTTGCCTATGCAAAAGAATCTAAAAGAATCTTATTTATTTGTAAAATCTTACTCTATTTATACAAAATATTCTTATCTACTAAACTTATTATTTATTTCCTATATATTCTTGAGTAACCAATCAATGCATTGGTTACTCCCAATTTTTGATAAAGTATATGATTTTTACATGTAAGATATTCATAGTATCTATTATACTATTCTAACATATGTTATCTATTTCTTATGCATTTTTACTTGTATATATTATTATATATATTATTCATAAGGTTTAACATTTCTCTAAAGGAATTTGTGTTACTACCGTACAATGACCACATATGATAAAACGTTTGGCTCGCGCATCATGTTACGAGTGCACAATCATAACGGCGTGAGTCAAACAAAATTTAAAAGTGTAATATGATCAAAGTCAAAACGACAAAGCGACAAATGTGCATTCAATAAATTATGTCACAATTGTTTTGTTACTTTATGCAATGACTTGTCATATTAAACAATGATGTAGGTCATGGGCACCACAATAGTCAATTTTTATATGCTGCTCGCTTAGTAGCCCAAGTAGAAGTGAACGAGCGCACTTTTGTGGAGTTGAGATCTACCGAAGCCAAACGGGACTTTTCCAGACAAACAAGTAGTTAATGAAACTAAGCACAGGGCAGGATTCAGAAACGCGTGTTTTAACTTATATAATTGGAGACATTGTTGGAGACATATTTGCCTCTTAATTACAATATGAATTTATTAACAATATTATTTTTATTTGACATTTATCTCATTTACTTTATATAAAACATATTTATAAATATATATTTATAAATTTTTCTTGAATTTAAATTTTAATATCTAGAGATATTATATATTTTATTTCACATTTTTGTATGTGGTTCTTACCAGCATTAGCTGGTTGGTTTTGCTCTTCGATTTTTGCTACTCTGGGTTTGTATTGTACTTCTCTTTTTATTGGAAGTAAAGATATTGTGGAATTTAATAAAATTTTTTATAGACAATTATTTTTTAGTTTATTAGCGCGTTTTTCAAAAATTCTTGGTTAAGTTCGAAATACTACTGGTGCTTGACTCAAGTTATTGTCGTGTAAATTTTTCAATGCAACCAGTATATCGAGGAAAATCCACCTATCTAAATATTTTTGCAAATTTTCTTTAATAGTCAAACAATTTGGTTGCTCAGAAAACGGTTTATAGAGCATGGCCTCTTCCAGACGGTCTTTCTGATATCTTTTATTCCCTAACATTAGTTTTGTAAGTTCAACGGCATAAATGCGACCGTCTTCTTTAGATTTCACCTTGAAAACCTCGCCAAATGATCGTTCACCTATTTTTGATATACCCGTTGTAACGACACAAATTTACACAGTAAATTTCTGTGTTACACATCGCAACAACAAGCGAAAAAGAAAATCTGTGTGTCAACAAATTACTACCTCTACATATAATATAGATAAAAATCACTCACGTGAAGAAAACTGAAGTGGATTTAGCTAAAAAATATGAAATTGAATTAAAATGTTTATTTATAAATCACATGGACATTACCTGCGATCCTCGGTTCCAACGTGCCGCGGGCATCGATACATGCAATGTGCAAAACCTAAAATATACGGAAAAAATGAATTTTTTTGTTAAACTTAATTTTTAATTATTTACATCTTATTAAAATAATGTTTTCATATACAAAATTTATTATTTATAATTTCCTTTTTTTATCTTTATTAGATTTTTGTTTTCGATTTTATTAGTTTCTTCTTATTAAAATTAGCAGGAAGAAATCTGCTCATTAGTAGGCATCCGAAAATGCCGAGACAAAAATGAAAGTGAGAATTTGGTTTAAGCTGTTCGAGCTCAGTTTCAAATCTGAATTTTATTATCAATTTTCCAAACTATTTATACAAAATGTTTTACAATAATTTACAAATATCTTTACTAGTAATTTCAATTGCGGCGGCACTAAAAAGGTTGACCCACGTCAATGCTTAGAAAATATTATGACACATTCAAGTGTGTCATATCGACATGTGCAGAATAGTAGTATTATTGGTGTTGTTTATCACCTCTTCCTTCGTGGCTTGACTGCCCATTCCTTGTTTCTTTAATTCTTCTTTTAATCGAGAGCTGGTCCTCAGTAGTTGTAGCTAGGTTAAGCTCTCTGTACAAGATTGCTATTTGTTTCCTCTTGTTGTACTGCTTTCCGCCTCTTTTCCTTTTTGGTTTTGGTGGTTTATTTGGTGCTGGAGCTGATTTGGTTTTTTGTTGTCTCGCTTTGTATTGTTCAATCGTGAGTGGTTTTGGACCTGCTGCTTTATCGACTGGAGTATATTTCGGGGCTTCAATAGGAAAACCGTCTATTCTCTGAGGGATGTACTCTTCAACGTCATCAAATACATTCAGAAATTTTTCCCAAACTTGGGAAATATTTTTAGATTCCTCAAGTAAACACATACAAAATTGACGTATGTTGTTTTGGGGAAAAAAAAAATACAATTTTTTGATAGAGAATTTAGATCCTAGAACTTCCCTTTGGTATTTTGGCTTGTCTTCGATTAGATTCGAGTGGTCAGGATCGCCATGTAATAATAAATTTGTTTTCATATACAAAATTTATTATTTATAATTTCCTTTTTTTATCTTTATTAGATTTTTGTTTTCGATTTTATTAGTTTCTTCTTATTAGAATTAGCAGGAAGAAATCTGCTCATTAGTAGGCATCCGAGAATGCCGAGACAAAAATGAAAGTGAGAATTTGGTTTAAGCTGTTCGAGCTCAGTTTCAAATCTGAAACTATTTATACAAAATGTTTTACAATAATTTACAAATATTTTTCCTAATAATTTTAATTGCGGCGGCACTAAAAAGGTTGACCCACGTCAATGCTTAGAAAATATTATACACATTCAAGTGTGTCATATCGACAAGTGCAG